TTGTGATGAAATACACTCACAGACTCCCACAGAGAGGCAGGATGTACTTGTAGATGCACTTGTTAGAACTTGAGAGATTGTGTTACACACACACACAGACCCACATGCATACACACGCACACACAGAGACACACCCAGAGATTTTAAGAATGTACTTTATACAAAATAACCAGTTCATATGGAAATAAATCTACAGACCTCCAATGATCAAAAAGCTTTTTAAAAATAATCCAACACACATTATTGAAGTAACTATTGAGGTAAGCGTAGCAGGCAATCAGAAGAGCATGACAAACTATACACAACATAAAAATTAACAGTACACCCTTCCAGACTGTCCAGTAGGGTTCACACAGCTTTGCTTCTGGAGCAGGGCATTCCCTGAGGGAGACAACAGAGCCACAGACAGTCACAGACACAGACATACCCACACAGACCCCACACACACACCGAGAGACACAGGAAGCACATAAACAGACCCACAAAGACACAAACACATATACACAGAGCAACACATATACACAGACACACCCACACACCCACACAAAAACAGTTCCAGAGGCGTACATAGAGACATACCCACACAGACACACACACACACACACACACACAATACAGAGATCCACACACAGACACACAGACATATATACATATACAGAGACACAGATAACACGTATACACAGACACACACACAAGACTCACATACACAAACACAGAGACACAAACACCCAGGATACACAGACACATACCCACACAAAAGCACAGACCCACATAGAGACAAAGACACACAGACGACACAGACACACATAGACGACACTCAGGCTTGTTTCCAGTGCGCTCAACAGAAGACCCTGAGGACATCCTCCCTGTACACCCACCCCTTCCCCCAGGAGGCGGTGCCAGGCTGGCTCCAGGCCAGCAGCAGTAGGGAGCACAGGGTGGCAGGGCAGGCAGCTGGGGTCAGGGCACAGGCAGCTGCAGTCTGCCCTTTTGCTCGGGGAAGCAGACATCAGTGGCCTCCTAGTCCCACTTCATGGCTCTGAACGCTCAGGGTGGCCCCACACCTCCAACCGGGCCCCCGGGGCTTCCCCGGAGGATCAAGTCTCCCCACAAGGGGCCAGGAGCCAGGCCAGCATCAGTGCAGTCGCGGTGCCACTGAGGCTGCGTCTGAGTCCCAAGTTCACCTAGGCTGGCCTGGCACAGCACCCTCCTGCACTCCTGTGCCACCTGCAGCCTCGCGACGCTGGTTCCGCCTGACCCTGCTCACCTGCCTGCGTCCGGTGCCCGGCCCTGGCAACCCCATTCCTTCCCTCTTTCCTCCATGTCCTTCCTGCCCTCATCCTCCGTCCCAGACCCCTCTTCTGCCCCTCACCTGGAGCAGGGTCTGCCTCCCCAGCCCCCAGCCCCCTTGGAATCGCCCCCACAGGTTCCTGCCCCGGCACTCCCTCGCCTTTCTCACTCTCAGAGACCTCTGGGGAGCTCCCAAATCCTGGGCTGGGCAAGGATTGCGCCCGCCTTGCTCGACCCAGCTGTCCGGGACCAGGAGACTATTTTCAGCCCCGAAGATGGGCCCGGGTCCAGCCATGTGGGGACATGTCGCGGGAATCCCTGAGCACCTATGGCTGGCCCCCAGCAAGGTCACCCCCCCAGCCTTGCAGCCGCACGAGGGGGTCTCCGAGTACCCACCCTGGAACCCTCGTGGGCCGCAGAGGCGGCGAGCTTGGCAAACCACGTTTTTGGAAAGCGCGCTCGCTAATGCAGGGTGGCTTCCTTCCGTGCGCCCGGTCACTCTGCTGTGGTCTGTCGGGTCACGGTGTGCAGCGATCCAACCCACAGGGCACTGTCCAGGGACTCCCAGAACCAGGACCGCCAACCCGTCCCGAGCGCTAGCGCGGACCCGCGACACAGGCAGGACCCCGCTCACCGAGTGTTCTGCGCCCCGGGCAGGATCCAAGCGGCCAGAGCACGCGGAGGACGACACCCTCTGCTTTCTTCCCGCTTTGCAGAGTGGAAATTTCCATCTGAGATAGGGGGCGGCATCCCCGCGTCGCGTTTCCTGCGGACCCTCCCTTCCAGCTCGACCGCCAATCGCCAGGCGGCAACCTGAGCCCTGAACGGAGCATCCCAGGTGGACTGAGCCACACTGTCCCAGGCAGCCAGGCAGCCGCCTGTCCGGGACGGGGCCGCACTGGGCGCTTGCCTTTGGACGGCTCGGTTTCTCAGCAAGCCAGGCGCCATGCGCAGGCCACCTACTGAGCTCCCTCCCCGCAGGTCTGGGGGAGGCCAGCCGAGCCTTTGGTACAAAGAAACGACCTCCCATACCAGGATGAAATGGGGCAGCGGCTAGCGTGAACCGCGAGTCTTCACTGGGACTCCAGTTCAGGCACTGCCTTCAGTCAGGCTGGTTGCAGGCACCAGCTGCCACCTGGGGAGCCAGCACAACAGACATGCCCCCTGTGTCCCGCTCCTTAGCATCCCGCTGCTCTTCTCCACAGTGAGCAAACTCGCCAGCAGCACACTCGGAACCCACCCTTCCCACGAAACGCTATTCAGAACAGAAGGCTTCCCTGCCTCCTCACTGGGCACACCCAGGGACCCTTGTGTTACAGCTCCCAGAACAAGCACGCCAGCAACACCCTGGCACTTCGAAAAACAAGCTGACCTGGAAAACGTATGGTAATCGGGGACAGTAAAGACGGCACTGCCAGTACCCACAGCAGCAATGCACCCACACACCACGGTGATGCAATCACACACACGTGTGTGCCACACACATCACAGCATTAGTGTACACACACACCTCCACACACATCACAGGCGACATAATCATACACACATCAGAGCATCACTGCACACACATGCACACCAAACACATCAGCTCATCAATGCACACACACACATCACAGGTGATGTAGTCACACATGCACTGAGCACACATGTTACAGTATTAGTGTACACATGTTACCCCCACACATATCACAGCATCAGTGCACACACATGTACCCACAAACATATCACAGTATCAGTGCACACACATGTATACCACACATATCAGCTCATCAACACACACACATGCAGGGCCAGCACTGTGGCATACCGGATAAAACCCCCACCTGCAGTACCAGCATCCCATATGGGCACCGGTTCGAGACCCAGCTGCTCCACTTCTGATCCAGCTCTCGGCTGTGGCCTGGGAAAGCAGCAGGAAATGGCCCAAGTCCTTGGGTCCCTGCACCCACGTGGGAGACCCAGAAGAAGCTCCTGGCTCCTGGCTTTGGATCAGCACAGCTCTGGCCACTGCAGCCAATTGGGGAGCGAACCAGTGGATGAAAGACCTCTCTTTCTCTCTCTCTGTGTTTAATTCTGATTTTAAAAAAATAAATAAGTCTAAAAAAATGCACACACATGTAGCCCCATATCACAGCATCAGTGCACACGCATGCACCCCACACACATCACAGCATCAGTGCACACGCATGCACCCCACACACATCACAGCATCAGTGTACACACACACATGTACCCCACACACATCACAGCATCAGTGCACACACACATGCACCCCACACACATCACAGCATCAGTGCACACACATGTACACCACACACATCACAGCATCAGTGCACACGCATGCACCCCACACACATCACAGCATCAGTGCACACACACGCACCCCACACACATCACAGCATCAGTGCACACGCATGCACCCCACACACATCACAGCATCAGTGCACACGCATGTACACCACACACATCACAGCATCAGTGCACACACATGTACACCACACACATCACAGCATCAGTGCACACACATGCACCCCACACACATCACAGCATCAGTGCACACGCATGCACCCCACACACATCACAGCATCAGTGCACACACATGTACACCACACACATCACAGCATCAGTGCACACACATGTACACCACACACATCACAGCATCAGTGCACACACATGTACACCACACACATCACAGCATCAGTGCACACACACACATGTACCCCACATACAGCACATCAGGGCACATGCATGTAGCCCTGTATCACAGCATCACTGCACACACATGCACATGCACCCCACACACATCACAGCATCAGTGCACACACACACATGTACCCCCCCACATCACAGCATCAGTGTACACACACACATGTACCCCCACACATCACAGCATCAATGCACACACATGTACCTTGCATACATCAGTGTCAGTGCACACACATGTACCCCACATACAGCACATCAGGGCACGTGCATGTAGCCCCATATCACAGCATCAGTGCACACACATGTACCCCACACACATCACAGCCTCAGTGCACTCACATGCACCCCACATACAGCTCATCAGGGCACACACATGTAGCCCTGTATCACAGCATCAGTGCACATGCATGTACCACACACATATCACATCATCAGTGCACACACATGTACACCACACACATTACAGCATCAGTGCACACACATATACCCCACATACAGCTCATCAGGGCACACACACGCACCCCACACACATCACAGCATCAGTGCACACACATGTACCTTGCACACATCAGTGTCAGTGCACACACATGTACCCCACATACAGCACATCAGGGCACACACATGTAGCCCCATATCACAGCATCAGTGCACACGCATGTACCCCACACACATCACAGCCTCAGTGCAACACCCCTTCACATATCACTGGTGATGTAATCCACACGACACTGCCCAGGACGCATCTTCTCTGACTTTCTAAACCCAAACAACCCCCTGGTCCTACCCGTGCTCTGGAGTCAGACCCTCTGGGAGGAGTCCCAGGAATCCACGTTTCTAACAGGGCCCCAAATGGCTCCCATTAAGACTGGAACTGTCCAGACCAGGCTGTCCTGCTGGCGAGACGGACAGGAGCACGGCAGGGCCCACAGCCAGGTGTGGTGACAATGGGCCACCGTGTGGAGAGTGGGAGACCAAACAACAAGGTAATGGACTCGAGACCTTACCTGCGGTCCAGCTGGGAAATCCAAGGAGCACTGGGTGGCAGGGTCCTCTGATCATGGTGCAGGAACTGGGGCACAGATACCCTTTCCTCCAGCAAGCTGGGGACGGAGGCAGGCTCCCAGGAAGAGTCCATGTAGGAGCTGAGTCCAGACCTGCTGGCATGGCTCAAGAGGACCCCTGGACACAAGGGACCAAGCTGCGCCTGCTTCTTCAGATGGATAACAGCACAGAGGCAGACAATGGCAGGGCTGGACCGGTCGGCAGTGCCTACTGGCCGTGAAGATAGGAAGTGCTACAGCATCCGGACCACTGGGACAGGAAGCGGGGTACCTGGGCTCAGGTGCGCTCCTTCTGTGGATGATTCCCCCAGACGACCTCAGACCTGCACGGAGATGACCATAAGGAAAACAGAACCCTGAGTAGCTGCGTTTAGAACAATCATTTCTATATTCGCTTATGAAAAGCAGCTCTTTAATGTCACCAATAAATTAATTTGCAAAACTTGCTTATTTTAATAAGAAAAGGAAGTTTGGAAATGTAAAGAATAGGATGCAGCTGAGTTCACGAGTCTTCATAACTACCCAGCTAAAGGCATGTTACAAAACGTGAGAGCTGGAACACACCAGTCTTAAATCGTGCGCACACGCATCCAGCGTCCCTTTCTGTACCAGGATGCACCACACAGGAGTTCACTGTGCTGAAGCATGTTCTTTTCAGTCATAAAGATACAAAGTTGTGCCCTTTTATAAAATTTGATAGCTCACCATAAATGTGAGAGAATGTGACACCACTGCCTGTACTCTACTCTGATGCTTCAAGAGTACATGTTTAGGCGTATACCCAGGTACAGGCAGGTGTACCTAATGATGTGATATGTGTAACTGTAGTCCCCCATCCAGTTTGCACAGGCAGAGTCTGCTGTGACATATAATACATGCATTATATTGGTATATGTCTCTATCAAGTTACACAGGTGTAATCTGATGTGATATGTTTATAATATTCACATTTCACAGGTGTAACCTGTGATATATATCTAATACATTAGTATATGTATATAAAATATATCATCACACAGATATAATCTGACATGATAAATATTACAAAATGGTATTTACATATATCAAATTTCATAGGTATAATCTGATGCTATATATATCACATCTAACAGGCATAATCTGATATGATACATATATTTTTATTAGCATATATATCAAGTCACATAGGTATAAACAGAGGTGATATGTAATTTTTATTAGAATATATAATATACATATCAAGTTTCACAGCCGTAATCTGATGTGATTTATACATTAGAATATGTAACAGATATACAATACATGAGATATATCAAGTACAACCTGAGGTGATATATGTATATAAAATACATACAAGTTACACAGGTGTAACCTGATGTAGATCAAGTCACACAGGTACAATCTGCAGTGATGTAGATCAGGTCACACAGTGTAATCTGTTCTGATACATATGCATGTCTACATACATGTCATCTCCCACCCGTGACCCAGTACATACAGAGGAGGCCCCTTCCCCTGCCTGCAGACCAGTCCAGCAGGCGCAGGCACCGTCCTGCCCCTTCCCCTGGGCTCTGGCTCCCATCTCCCCAGCTCTGTGCAGGGGCCTTCCTGGAGCAAATATGAATGGTGCAGCTGCCCTGGACAGCTGTCTGGCAGTTCTTCAAAAAGTTAAAAAGACAATTTCCTGTAGCCTGACCACTCCCTTCCTGTGAAAACATACACACGTATACCTTGTAATCTGACATTCAAAGCAACCCCAAAGTGGGAATACTTCCACGGCCACCCCTGATGAACGAGTGTGCATCACACGTGCCTTGTCCATGTTAGAAAACATGGCTTGGCGGTGAGATCATGTCATAGCACGGTGAGCACTGCAAGGCTGTGCTGAGAGGAAGAAACCAGCATTAAAAACACCACCCAGCAGTTAAGACGCCAACTCCCGTAAGAGAATCTGGGTTGGACAGCTGGCTTTGCCTCCTGACTCCACCGCTTCTGCCTATGCAGACCCTGGAAGGCCACAGTGATGGACCAAATGACTGGGTTCCTGCCACCTACGCAGGAGACCTGGATTCAGTTTCCTGGGCCTGGCTTGCCATTTGGGGAAGGAGACACTAGATGGGAGTACTCTGTCTCTCCTGCCTTTCAAATAAATAAATAATCATTTAGGGGCCAACACTGTGGTGTAGCGGGTAAAGCCACTGCCTGCAGTGCCGGCATCCCACATGGGTGCCAGTTCAAGTCCTGGCTGCTCCATTTCCAATCCAGCTTTCTGTGATTGCTTGGGAAAGCAGCAGAAGATGACCCAAGTCTTTGGGCCCCTGCACCCTCGTGGGAGGCCAAGAAGAAGCTCCTGGCTCTGTACTGCTGCAGCTCCAGCCGTTGCAGGCAATTGGGGAGTGAACCAGTGGATGGAAGACCTCTCTCCCTCTCCCTCTTCCTCTCCCTCTCCCTGCCTGCCTCTCTCCCTCCCTCCCTCCCTCCCTCCCTCCCTCTCTCTCTCTCTCTCTCTCTCTCTGCCTCTCCTTCTCTCTCTGTAACTCTTTCAAATAAATAATCATTTTAAAAAATAATCATTTAAACATGTAAAAGGGAGTGGCACTGTGGTACAGCAGGTTAAGCCAGATTTGGGACACCTGTATCCCCTAAAAGAGGCCCTGGGATGGAGACCTGCCTCTACTTCCAATCCAGCTCTCTGCTAATCGACCTGGGAAGGCAGCAGAACATGGCTCAGCTGCTTAGGCCCCTGCCATCCACATGGGAGACCAGCATGGAGTTCCTGGCACATGGCCTGGCCTGGCCTGGCCGTTTCAGACATTTGGGGAAAGGCAATGGATGGAAGCTGTTTTGCTCTGTCTCCCTCCTTCTCTATGTTGACATGCCTTTCAAATGAATAAATAATTTTAAAAACAAATAAAACTTTAAAAAACATACTGTATGATCCCATTGATGTGAGATGTCCAGGACAAGGATGCCAACAGACAGAAAGGCTGTGGCTGGAGGCCAGGTGGGGCTGTGGTGGAAGGCAGGGCACTGAGAGTGCCTACAGCATTTCTTTTCCAGTGACAGAGGTCTTCACACTGTGCCGACTGTTGGATAGCTCGGTGGACATCCTGTTCATGAACTCACTGGATTACTCAGTACGTGAACTCCGTCTCAACAGAGCTACCATTAAACAACACACTAAAACAGCACTTGCCTTCCAGAACAGCCTCTGTGCTGAGCCCACACTGCCTGCCCTAACGACCTCTTGGAGCTCTTGGAGGAAGTGCCTTTCCAAGATCATCTTGTGGGGGTGGTGGCGTCGGGCTGGAGAGGGAGCTGAGGGTCTGATGGCCTCCTCCTCCTCCAAGGGCCTGCATCCATGTTCTAAGCAATACCCCGATGAGATGGCTCACACAGACAGTGCAGCCAGGGCAAACACTGCTGGCCGACTCCCTGGAGCCTGGATGGAGCCAAGGTTTTAGTTCCTGTACTCTCCAAAATATCAGAAACTGCTGTCCTATGAAGGACTCGGCTGCACCTTTCAGAGTCCCCTTCTTAGGGCAGCCCAACCCCTTCCAGCTGGGGCAGGGTCTCGGGCCTTTATTCTCCCATCACTGCTTCTGGTATTTCGTCCTCAGGCCTAAGTTTCTACGTCCTAAGCTGCAGGAGCTCAGGTTATGCCACGGTAACCCCGGGTAAGAAGACCAATGGGCAGCCTCCTCACAGCAGACCTGAGCCTTGAGAATCCAGGAGCGAAGGCAGGCGGTGGTCGGAGGAACTCTCCTGGGCAGCCTCACAAGTGGAATCTCCGGTCAGGTGCGTGGACAGCACAGCCACTTCAGCAGCACACGCAGGCAGGGTGGGACGCGCACAGAGAGGAGCCCGAGGGTAAGCTGGAGTGCGAGCAGCAGTCCCCAGAGGGAGAAGCTGGCACCGGCCCTCCCGTGCGGACTCCACCTGGCACAGGGCAGAGGCACACTGATGCAGGGCCGGCCAGGGGCAGGGTGGGTGGGGGTGGGAGGCAGAAGACGGGGGCCTGCAGAGGAGAGGCTGGGGAGGCTGCGGGAGGGGAGACGGATGGAGAGGGCTTGTAATCTGATCTGGTTTCTGTCAGGTGAAGAGTCAGCTTGAGGAGGTAGCTCAATGCTCATTGCTAGGAAGAGGTACCAGAGCCAACAGCTTTGTTCACCCACCAGGGTTCCCGCAACCAGAACTGCCCAGCGTGAACCGGCTTCCCTGGTTCCCAGCTGCCACCACGCACCCGACACCCATGGTTGGGCCTGCCCTGAGCACACCCTGAGGCCTCCTGCCACACGCTCTGACCTTTGCCTGCCTCCTGCCTCCTGGGATCCAATGACTGCCTTAGCTGCCCTGGCACCAGCCCTGCTCTGCTTGGCTGTGCCACTGCCCTCACCCTGTGATGGCGCAACCCTGCTGTCCACGCAGAGGGGACCTGCTTGAAAGTAGGTCATGGAGAGGGTGTAATCTGGGGCACAGGACAGGGCCCCCCCGAGGCTTTGGGAATAACCGAGGCAGGAGCCAGTGGAGGTGGCCAGGAGGGGAGCACTGTGCCCTTGAAAGAACTTGGCACCTTGTTGGTCCTCTCCATGATACTTACTTCAAAAATAAAAGCTTGTTTTGGAGCAAACAAGATAGACCAAAGAACAAAGTCCATTCACTAATTCAAGAGATCAGTCTGAAGTGACACCCTAACAAGCGTCCACCTTGAGGAAGGACCCCCCCCCCCCACCATGAGATCATGAGCTAAAACTAACTATGGGCTAAACTAAGACAATAATAGTATACCTCACCCTGCTTGGCAAACACAGAAACTCTACCATGATCAGACATGCTGCACCTGGATTAACGTTAAGATTGTAATTTGTCAGGGCAGGCGCTGTGGCACAGCGGGTTAATGCCCTAGCCTGGAGTGCCAGCATTCCATATGGGCACCGGTTCGAGACCCGGCTGCTCCACTTCCAATCCAGCTCTCCACTATGGCCTGGGAAAGCAGTAGGAGCATGTGGGAGACCTGGAAAAAGCCCCTGGCTCCTGGCTTCAGATGGGCACAGCTCCAGCCATTGTGGTCATCTGGATGAACCATCAGATGGAAGACCCTCTCTCTCTCTCTCTCTCTCTCTCTCTGCCTCTCCTCTTTCTGTGTAACTCTTTCAAATAAGTAAATAAATCTTAAAAAAAAATTGTAATTTGTCTACATCCCACATGCAATTTAGGTTGGTACCTGGACTAACGTCTACACTGTAATCTGTGTTGTCAAGACTGTAACTGAGGGGCCAGTGCTGTGGCGCAGCAGGTTAACACCCTGGCCTGAAGCGCCGGCATCCCATATGGGTGCCAGCTG